CAACCGTATAAAGAACTTGAAATTTGGACAAACGGTTGGAAAGTTATAGGTCAAAACCTGGGCAGAGGTCGAAGTTGAAAAACAGAGAAATGAACCTGTCCAAATGGTGATAAAAGGGTAATAGAAAGTGCTGTTGTGTTTTTCTTTGGTTTCTTGTTTTGTTTCTTTTCTTTTACCTTTATTTACTCATTTTTAGTTTCCAATTTGTATTGTGCTTTTGTGATGTGTTAAATAAGTGTTTTTTACGTACTCAAATTAGAACTTGTAGGAAGCCGACAGTTCTTCGTGGGATTGACCCCGTACTTACATAATCTATACCTCAATAGATTCGTGCACTTGCGGGTATTTTTAATTGGTTGTTTGCACATTAATTTGTGTCAGTTATGAATACAACAAAGGGTATACAGATGCTGATTGGGCTGGTTCAGCCACTGATAGACATTCTACATCTTGGTATTTCATGTTTGTCGGTGGTAATCTTGTTATTTGGAGAAGTAAGAAACAAAAGGTGGTGTCTCGATCTAGTGCTGAAGCTGAGTATCGTGGGATGGCTCAATGCGTATGTGAGTTACTATGGTTGAGGAGATTGTTGAGAGATCTTCGTTTTGGGCCACAGAAACCTATGGATTTATATTGTGACAATAAGGCTACAATTGCAATTGCCCATAACCCGGAGCAACATGATCGTACAAAGCATGTGGAAGTTGATCGAAATTTCATTAAAGAGAAGTTGGATGCGAAGATTGTTTCATTCCCGTTCGTCAGTTTTGAGTATCAGTTAGCCGATGTCCTTACAAAAGCTGTTTCTTCCAGTATCTCCCTCAACTCGCTTGACAAGTTGGGTATGCGCGACATCTTTGCTTCAACTTGAGGGGGAGTGTTAGTGAGATCCTAGTGTAATTAGGAGATTTACTTCCTAGTATATTAGGATTCTATTTATTTCCCTTTTGTATAGATCAAGCGGCCGATTTTTCCAAAACCTGAAAATAATCTATCCATATTGTTTGACTCAAACCGCATCATAAATAAAGTTAATAATGTATCATATTTGCTTTGAGGAAATTGAATAATAACTTAACATATTATAATGTGTGTGTGTGTATGAGAGAGATAGAGAGAGAGAGAGAGAGAGTTTATTTT